GAAGAGAAGAGAAGAGAAGAGAAGAGAAGAGAAGAGAAGAGAAGAGAAGAGAAGAGAAGAGAAGAGAAGAGAAGCACAAACTTTGAAAATGTTACACCAAGAAAACTTCTCTACTTTGTGAAAAGAGCTGGAGGGGGTAGGGATTTCTAATCCTTGAGACTTCACACTGAATCAAGGCTCAACCCCATTACAATTACCCATAATAGCAGAGGAGGCCTTCCACCGGAGCTTCAATAGAACCCATCATACCTACTATGAAGGCTGCAGGTAAACTCCATTTTCAGGTAATTTCTAGCATTGGAGTAGCTGAGAGTGAGTTATATAGAGCTAGGTTTCTATGGCGACAGGATTGCAAAAAAGATTCTCCTCTCCCTCCTGTTCCTCTCCCCCCAGAAGCACACACACAGTTGCACACACGCCTTGTCCCCGGTTTCTCCATCTGCTCTTATCTATTGACTCGGCAATGTTTGCTCATATCTTTCTCTCTCGACAGAAAGGACATGATGCATGCTCAAACAGATCTAATGATGGTTATGCCAGGGAATGGCCAAGGAGTTGCACCCAGGTTTCTCGTGGTCTGGCAGGCTGAAATCATGAGGAAAAAATAAATCACATGCAAGGGAGAAGTTGCAAAACAGGTGTGACAGGGAGTTATTCATGCTCAGAGAGACCAGGGCAGAAGAACAGAATGGGACAAAAGGCATTTTCCCCATCCATATGTGTTTACTTGGACTCAATTACAGTGGTGATGGGTAAACCACTGGAAGGTCCAAAGGACCAGGTTGAAGACAGAACGTCCTGGAGAAAATCCATCTATGTGGTTGCTAAGAGGCAACACCAACTTTATGGCACATAATCAGTCAATCAATTAATCCATCAATGTATAAGCTGTGCTCCATTTTTATACAGTCTTGGCATTCCCCAAAGGATGTGAACTCACCAAATCAGTAGTCCATATTTTAGTTTCATTGAATGAGAAAGAAGCAGAAACTCAAGGTGTTTCTTACGAATTCTCTTTCAAAGCCAAATCAAATTGTCAGATGGGATTACAAAACACTCAAGGATATGCAATAAGAACATGAGAAATTTAAGAGTCCTAATGGAGCAAGCCAGCAAGCCACTAAGCCTAGCCTTTCTTGGCCACACAGTGGCTAACCAGATGCATTCAAGGAGCACACAGAGATGTCCAAAAAGGTGAGAGCCCCCTTCCATAGTTGCTCACTTTCCAACAGCTGTGATTCCACAGATGGCAATCAGTCATCAAGATTAGCCATCATTGGTAGCCTCAATCTTCCCTTAAATTTGTCCCATCCCCTTTTAAAACCAACTCAGTGGATGGTCCTCACCATATCTGATGTCAGTCAATTCAACAGTTTAACTCTCCAATTCTGTGAGAATTGTTCCCATTGATCAGTGTCCCTCCCCTCCAGCATACAGTTTAATAATGAATAACCACAAATTCTTCATCTGCAGCAATGGGTGGTTGATTTGTCCATATCTGAATCACTTGTTGTGGCCATTTTGTTAAAAGGGCAAGGAAAGAAGACTCTCAAGCACTATGGTTAACGTTTTTGGACTTATTCAGTTTAAAACATAATTGCAATGCCTTTCCCCAGTTTTTCCCTTTTTTAATTGCAACGCTTATCTGTTTGGAGGCTAGGTTGATCCTTCTAATGCTGTTGCTTGTGTTTGCTTTTTTCTCATGTTCAGCATAATTTATCGGAGCATAATTTTTTTAAAAAAATGTCAAAGAGGGAGGAAGACTTTATTCCTATTTCAGATTTGCAAAAGTTAAAAAAAAATAAAAACCATCACATTATGATGGATCACCACCTCTTCAGTAAAAGACTATGCATGCTCAGTAGCTATAGAACTGTGATGATCTGTTGGGAAAGGAAGGAAATAGAAAAATAACTGGTGGGAAAGGATTAAAGTAAACTGGAAACATCTGTTAGTTTTTGGCAATTTGGAGAAGGCAAGGAAACCTAGCACCACTCCTACTACAAGCCAGGATGCATTGCAACATTTTGATATGGGTCACTCTACAGTTGACTTGATCTAGAACAGTGTTTCTCAACCTTGGCAACTTTAAGATGTGTGGACTTCAACTCCCAGAATTCCCCAGCCTGCATGGAATTCTGGGAGTTGAGGTCCGCACATCTTAAAGTTGCCAAGGTTGAGAAACACTGTTCTAGAATGTTAATTTATTTATTATAGCTTTAATCCTCCCCATAACCTGTTTTCTGACCCAATTTTGGTTACTAAACACTAAAAGCAATCAAGAGAGTCAGTGTGGCATAGTGATTAAGGTATTGGCCGAGTGCGGAGGTCCAGCTTCTAGTTTTCCTTCAACCATAGAAGTTCATTGGGTGTAAAGGAATTTAGAGTTGAACTTGTGAAAGCTATGAAAGAGCCATTAAGGGGGGAAGAAAGGAACAAGCCCTTATGAGGGGGGACTTGGAGAAGAGGTTACACCGTCCAGAGATCAAATAAGTGTGAGAAAGAAACTCAGAACAACCCAGCCTTAATTCTGTTTAGTATAACATGGGACAAAGAGAAACGTGGTCAGGCTTTCAGATGGTTAAATGAGCAATTTTCAAAAGTGATTAGAAAGCAAGGTTAGCAAATTCAGTGTCCTTTAAAAGGCTCCACCATGGTGGTCATCTTGATGATGGATCCTGTCTCTTGGTGCTCAAACCCGTAGAAGACCACTGTCCTGCAGTCTCCTCATGAGGAGCAGCCATCTGGAGCACATGTAGGCAATCTCCTGTCCTCTCCTTATCTGGAGAGGTTCCAAAGAACCGGTCTACTCACTGGTTCTTCAGTCTTTGCCACGATCATCATCTCCACTCTCCAAAGATGTGTTTAGTTCGCCATGCCTCCCTTGTTCATTTAACCATCTTAAAGCTATTAGGTATTTTCGGAACAACAAGTTTGAAAAGCCACCTGGTGAGTCTATCTTCATTTCTGAACAAAAGAAAAATTAACTATAAGCAAGTTTGAAAAGCCACCTGGTGAGTCTATCTTCATTTCTGAACAAAAGAAAAATTAACTATAAGTTTAAGAATTTAAAGAACTTGAAATAAATGGCAAAAAGCTAAATAAGATTCTGAACTAAGAAAGTTAAGGAAATTAAGGGTTCAGACAAATTTCAAACATGGAAAATTTTACTATAAGATTTTGGAACTAACTATATAAAAT